TTATAAAGATGAACCCTTTTTAGTACCTCATAGAACCCTTTTTGGTGCTATAAAGGGCCCCTTTAGAACAGGGTTCTATGCAGCACCAAAAATGGTTCTGTTATTGTGACAATGTCAAGCTTATAGTAATATAAGAACACTTTTTGGAGCTATATAGAAGACTTTTTGAAAAGATGAACCCTTTTTAGTACTTATTGAACCCTTATTGGTGCCATATAGAGCCGTTTTAGAACAGGGTTCTATGCAGCACCAAAAATGGTTCTGTTATTGTGACGAAGGCAAGCTTATAACAACTGATATAACAATTTTGCTTTTGATCATGTAAAGCAGTTTGAATTGCCTCTGTGTATGAAATGTGCTGTATAAATAAACCTGCCCTGCCTCGACCTCGCCTCTCTCTGAGGCCTCCTCAGAGTCAGTGAGCAGGGCTGTGCTGCTAGCTGGTTGTGAATGAAGGTTAATGGTGCAGGGTGGGGGGGGCGGGGGGGGGGTCCTCATTGTGCATGCGCATGGCTTTTTTTAGAACAATAGAGCTCTTCCACAGCATCAGCTGGCGCTAGCTGCCCCTCTTTGAGGCTTTTGTTAGCCTTTGTTAGCATCAAGCATTGTAGCCGCAACATAAAGGCAGTGCGGACCCTCAGCGCTGCTGCTGGAGGGTGGGGGTGGTGAAGGAATGGTGAGGGAGAGGTGGAGAAAGAAAGACAGAGGAACAGAGGGAGGGTTTTGGAGTCTAGAACTGGAACATCTTTCGGGGTGTTTGAGTTTGTTTGTGGACGTGGTTGGTGACGAGCTGCCCGAACACCAGCAGCGTGGCCACATTTACAACAGCTTCATGTCCAAAAACAGGGCTGTTTTTATGCTGTTATGATGTCCTTTTGTTTTCTTTTGTTGTCTTTTTTATCTCGAGGCCTGTCTTGTGTGTCGCTATGCTACGTATATTCGTGTGTTTTGTCTTTTGTGTGCTTGATGCTTGTTATAGTATTAATTTGGCTGTAATAAATGACTTTTATTTTGTTTATTTGACTATTTTGGGTTACAAAATATCAACCCTCATGAAAAACTAGCTGTGTGGCTAACAAGCTAGAATATTTACCTTTGAGCTAATTAATAAGCCTTTTTTAAACTTGTATAACAAAAACAAATAAGTCAGTAGTTTTGTAATATAATCTGTTGCATTAATGTTAGTTGTTGTGTTTCACTGCAAATGTAGTGTTTGTTGCTGATGTGCAATATTCCTGAAATAAATGAGTAAATAAGTTTATAAACACATTATTCTTTGTCTAGACACAATAGCTATTGTTTGTTGTCAATGTGCATTGTTTATATATAAATAAAACAAAAAATAGTTAAATAATGAATTACACAGTTCTTTTAATTGAATTAATTCATTTATAATAAATAAATGCTGCATTAGTATTATAATGTTTTTTTTTTCTTTTCAAATATCTATTGGAACAAAATGATTATATTGATTCTTTATTGGAATCTAATTGGTGTGTCGTTGTAACTGCCTGTTTTTGTGTTGGGGGGGTAACTTTGTGTTTGTTCTCTGTGGGTTTTAAGGTGGGGGGTTGGGGGTGGGGGGGGATTCTGAGAGGAATTTTGAAATCCTTCTTTTGTCTCTCTCCCTGTAGACGCTCCTGTCTGTTGCGCGCTGATGGAGGGAGGGAGGAGAACGAGAGAATAAATAAAACTATCCTCTTTTCTCCACTAGGAGGCTCACAGACACACAGAAGATGTTTGTGAGCAAACGTTGCCACGGAAATCATTTACTCCACAACTTCACTTTTCTTTCTTTATTAAAGAGGGTCAATAAACACTAATTAAGCCTAATCACACAATCCTGCTGTTGTCTCACCTGGAGCTGTGTACACTCTTCACTCACACACACAATAAATACCATTAACAATTACTTTAAATTATGCCATCTGTAAATACTTGTAATAGTTGCATTCAGGCATGCGTGTAAACCCACCTACTGACCAGGCCTCCTGTGGGGATTGTAAGCATGTAAACTGTGTGTATTTATGGCTCCTCCTAATACATCATCACTGAACTAAACCTCCCTAAAAGGTAAATTTACAGGAGACAAACATCCTTAACTTTTAAAAGAATTAAAAGTTATTCATTCCAAGTTATTTTAGACCATTTCTGTTTGTCTGTTCACCATAAGGTGTTGATACGATGTGAAGGGCAGCTGGTGATTTTAATTAAGTCAAAAAAACAAAACTGACCAAAATGGAGATGTGAGATTTTGTCCCGACAGTGACGACGTGTCTGTGACTGCAGTTTCCTTCAGGATCATTGAAGTTTCTGTGTATCTGTCTGTGTTCCTGTCTATCTATCTATCTGTCTGTCTGTCTGCTTGTTTGTCTGTGTCTATGTGTCTGTCAATTTATCTGTCTGTCTGTCTGTCAATCTATCTGTCTGTCTTTCTATTTATTGCCTGCCCTGCGATGGACTGGCGGCCTGTCCAGGGTGTATCCTGCCTTCTGCCTAATGACCGCTTGGATAGCCTACAGCTCCCCCTGTGACCCAGAAGGATGAACAGTTTCAGAAAATGTGTGTGTGTGTGTGTTTGCCTGTCTGTCTGTCTATCAGTCTGTCTGTCTTTCTATCTGTCTGGCTGTCTGTCTGCTTGTTTGTGTGTATCTGTCTGTCTATTTTTCAATCTATCTGTCTGTCTCTCTGTCTGCTTGTTTGTGTGAATCTGTCTGTCTGCCTGTCTAGTTGTCCATTTGTCTATCTGTCTCTCTACCTTCTCTGTCTGCCTGCGTCTATCTGTCTATCTATCAGTCTATCTGTCTTTCTATCTGTCTGTCTGTCTATTTGTCAATTAATCTGTCTGTCTGTCTTCCTATCTGTGTGTGTATCTATCTATCTATCTATCTATCTATCTATCTATCTATCTATCTATCTATCTGTCTATCTATCTATCTACCTATCTGTCTGTGTCTATCTGTGTTGTGATTTATTCTGTTGAATTTATATTCATCTTTGTGATTCATTCTGTTAGATTCATTTTATGATTCATTCTCTTAGATTAATTTTGTGTTAAATTCCTTCTTTAAATTCATTTTCCTTTTCTCTGTGACTCTATAAAACCCGCCCCATTCCTCACCTAAACACTGACCACTGGTGTACCTGCGCTGGTCATTAGTGCAGCCGTTGAGGTCAGCGGGGTCGTTCACACTGCAGCCTCAGTCTCCTTCACACTGCCGCTTTAAACACAGGGGGTGGGAATGGGGGGGCAGTTACCACCCATCTATCTCTCATTTCACGCGCTGAATAGAAACCACTCTCAGGATTATGCTTTTTAACGACTGTGCTGAAAACGGGCCTTTTGAGGTGTCAGCAGGGAATTAAGACTTTAAGTGTATTTTTTTGTTTTGTTTGAATGATCGTCGTTCGGTCGCTCAGGCCTAAATAAAGCCACTGATCTCATGATGTTCCCCTATTTGCACCCATAAACTCCGAGGTACATCACTGGTAATCAGTGCTCAGTACAGTGTATGACCACAGACATTAACCACCAGCTGTAAATACAGCTTTTCTGTATTGTGTTTTGTGTATAAGAAAATAAACCTGGGTGGAAATTAAAGTACACCACATTTTCAAAGTTTCTCCATAATCCAGTGTGTGAGGTGTAAACAGAGTGATTCAGAGTGGTTTGGTGTGAAATGGTTCAGATGTCTTTACAGTGGTGGTGATAGGAACCAGGGGTCGCCATGACTACAACACAAATATAGACGTTTTATTTACTATCCAAAACCACCAGTGAACCTACACGAGTCTTCTGAGTTTATATGGAATGTTGATGATGGAAAATAGTGGAAAATCTGAAATAATAAGTTTTCTTTGGGGACTATTTTGCCTCACAGTGCCCTTCATGTATCCCTCCACCATGAATGGAGTTTAAGTTATAAAACAGTGTCTCAGTCATCAGGCAGTGAATTCATAACCATTTCATGTAGAAACTTTCTGTGAGGGAGCTTTTAGAGGTGGACATCTGGTTCCTATCACCACCACTGTGAACAGTTCTGACTCGGTAAGTTTCTCTAGAACAGAGTGTTTCACACCAAACCACTCTGAGTGACTCTGTTTACATCTTAACCATTTAATTATGTAGCAGTATTGCATAAAATACTATCCAATAATATACAGGGTGTCCCAAAAAAATTGACATCATTTCATAGTCTAACAGCCAATTCTCCCTCAAATGATCTCAAATTTTAACAAAATGTGTAAAAACTAACCAAGTTTAATTTTTAGTGTTTTTTTCAGGTTGAAGAATGGCGTTCACTAGAAATGAAAAGGCATTTTGTGTGTTAGAATATGCTCCAACACAGTCAAACAGGAGTGCGCAGCAGCATTTTCCAGAAAATTCAATAAAAATGCTCCAACTGAAAACAGATTTGGACCTGGCACAAAAAAACTCAAAGAGGAAGGCTGTCTGCGCAGGGTGAAAGGATCTGGACGACCACCAGTATCGGAAGATATTATATTTGTGAAGCTGTGGAATCGGTTATAAAATCTACATCTCTCTGAATTTCTTGTTCAAATTTTGATAAATAAATCTTGTATTGTTCAACATGAAGCCTGTTTAATATCGTTTGCCTACATGTAGTTACTCAGATATTCACATCTCGAATGATGTCAGTTTTTGTTTTGGGACACCCTGTATATATATATATATATATATATATATATATATATATATATATGTATATATATATATATATATGAACATGTATGTTAGAGGAATGGTGTCCTTTAAGTGTGTGAAATGAGCCGAATGAACCTGACAATGGGATGAAAATGTCATCTGAGATGTACGAGCTCAGCCTAATTGAAGCTTAGTGAATGGAGCGATGGGCGGGACCAACGGTCCGCGTGGGCGGAGCCAACGTCGTAAGTAGGTGGGGTCGTGGGCGTGTCTTATGCTGCTCCAGCTACACAAAGACGCAGCTGTTGGCGCGAAAAGTGCGTTAGGGGTGCGGCTGCGGCTCGAAACCAGACACCCGCATTGTTTCTCCTTTACAACTTTTTGTCATTGCGGCCGGAGCGGCTCTCGGCAGAGCGCGTGAGAGCGGACGGGTTCTATTGTCTGCGCGAGTTCTTTGGGTTTGGGTTGCTTTCCTCTCTCTGGAGTTATCCGTCCTCCTCGCGCCGGGCGCCTTCTTTTGTCCCTCTCTCTCTCTTCTCCCCCACGCGCCGTGTGTCCGGCTGCAGCACGAGCTCAGCGCCCACATGAGCCGGTGAGTAGCCTTTTCACGCGCATTTTAACATGATTTCTGCCTCGTGCGCTGGTAGTGCACGGGCTCTGGCTGGACATTAGTGCACCGCGGTGTTTCCTGTTTCAGAGGCGCCGACTTTGGAGCTGGAAACCTTCACAATGCGGAAAAGCTGCCCTTTCTGGAGGGTGGGGGAGGAAAGGGGGGGGGTGCGGTGTAAGTTGCTGCACGAGGAACCGGGGAGCTGCCCTTAAGCTTAAGTTAGCTTCCTATTCGAATGTTCCGCTCCACCTCAAATGGTGCCGCAGTTACATTTAACTACTGCACCATTTAAGGTGGAACGGAAGATCGTTGCATAAGCTTAAGTGGGTGAGTATTTCTGATGCAGTTGCAGGTGGGTTTGGGTTTTTTGGGTGTGAAGAGGCTTTGGGGTTGCTCTGCACACTGGCTCCCATCCCTCACCGCACGAGCATGTATGGCCTTTAATTTAACTTGACGAGAGTTGAAAGAGATCCAAGGCCTCAGCTAGGGCATTTTCGCATGTTTGCTTTTATTTTGGTTTTATTGGACTCTTACTTTGCCTCAGTGGGAGGTTTGGTGGTCTTCTTGTAGTGTCCAGAACTTTTTGACCTATTTTGGTGGGGTGGTCCTTTTGGTACTTTTTTGTTTTGCCAGCTGGAGCTTTTGGGATTTTTTTTTGACTTATTTTGCTCTTGGGAGCTTGAATGAAATCAGACATGCTTTTTGGCTTTAAGTTTTTATTTTGCCTATTGTTTGTTTTTTGTTTTTTTTCTTTTTCTTTTTTTAGCCTCAAATTTTTGCTCTTTTCCTTTTAGCTGATTTTCTCTTATTTTGGCTGTTGTTGCCAGTGATCCAGCTCAGTTGAACCTTGGCTGCGTTAGATTGCAGTAATATTATGCCTCCACTGTTCCAGCTAAATAAACTCTTAACGCTTCATTCCCTGCAGCCTGTAAATTGTACCCCTGCAATGCCTGGACTTAGCTGCAGCGCGGCGTCTGACGGGTTCTGGCCCATGGAGTTTGAGGCCCAGCAGCACTACTTCTACTATGATGGGCTGGACACTGGGGAGGATTTCTACAAGTCTCTGGCGCCCAGCGAGGACATCTGGAAGAAGTTTGAGCTGCTTCCTACTCCACCCATGTCACCCTCAAGGACCTGGGCAGAGTTCCCAGGCTGGATGGCACCAAAGCCCACCTTCGAGGAGGATTATGGCTCTCCGTATGAGTTGGAGCGAGAGCCGCTGGACGTTTTGGCCAACCTCAGCTCCATCGTGTTGAAGGACTGTATGTGGAGTGGTCTGGCTGCTGGTCAGCAGCTGGAGAAAGTCAGCCGAGATGTCAAGGTTGCTCCAACGGCTCGGGCACAACGCGTAGCACCTGCCATGACGCACAGCAGCCCAGCCACGCAGTGTGTAAGTCCGGCAGCGGTGCTCAGCCTCCCAGGGCATCATGGGAAGAAGACTGCCTCGGGCTCCTCCGGCTCAGACTCTCACTCTGACTCATCTGGTGAGAAATATAAAGATACTTGGCAGCTTTCAAAGCATGTATCGTATTAAGAAAGCGGCATCCACTGTACTTAAATTATGATCCAAATGGGCTTCCTTATAGGCTGCAATACACTACAGGAAGTGTAGGGGGCGATATGGCTTCTACTGCTTCATTTAAAGAGCTCTATAATGTTCATATGACCCACACAGTCACTCTGACAGACTGTAATACACTACAGGAAGTGTAGGGGGCGATATGGCTTCTACTGCTTCATTTAAAAAGCTCTATAATGTTCATATGACCCACACAGTCACTCTGACAGACTGTAATACACTACAGGAAGTGTAGGGGGCGATATGGCTTCTACTGTTTCATTTTAAAAAGCTCTATAATGTTCATATGACCCACACAGTCACTCTGACAGACTGTAATACACTACAGGAAGTGTAGGGGGCGATATGGCTTCTACTGTTTCATTTTAAAAAGCTCTATAATGTTCATATGATCCACACAGTCATTGTGACAGACTGTAATACACTACAGGAAGTGTAGGGATCTGTTTCCCTGCACCATGAGAAGAAATGGCTTGTTGAATATTCATATTAGTTAATTCAAAATGGCCAACAGGGTAATTAATCATTAGCACACCTAATGAGTGTTATAAATCTCTGTGAAACATAACCAATGCACTGATAGTATATTAGTACATCTGTGTTGCTGTTTTTCGTTAACTGTTCTGAGTAATCATTGCAGTCGGTCCAAGTCTTATAGTTAAACAATAGAGGAAGTGTTATTGTGAATAGCATCACAGCTGTGATTTATGATAACACGTCACCTTACATTGGTTTTATGCAATAGTTTTGAAATTAAAAACATCAATAAATAGGAAGCAATGCTTGAATGGCTGAAAACGTGCTGTAATCAGATGTGACACCATGTAAAGAACACTTTTCAACCATAAGTTCTGTATAATTCCATGTCTGCACTCCTCTCACAGCACACCTTCCTCTTTCTGCTGTTTTACCCCCAGATGAGGATGAAATAGACGTGGTCACTGTGGACAATCGACCAAAACGTGGCCGCCCCCCTGTCAGGCGGACACCGGTTACCATCGCGGTCAGCGCTGACCCCCATGGGCCCTGCCCCAAACACTTCCACATCTCACTCCACCGGCAGCAGCACAACTATGCCGCCCCATCCCCCGAATCTGACCGTGACGAAGAGGAAGAGGAGGATGATATAGAACCTCAGGGGAAGAGAGCCAGACTGGAGGCCTCGTCTTCGTCTTCGTCTCCGCTCTCCTCTCCAGCCAGCTCGGACTCTGAAGACGCCACGGAGCAGCGGCGAAACTTTCTGGAGAGGAAAAGAAGGGACGATCTTCGCTCTCGTTTCCAGGCGCTCCGCGGGGAAATCCCAGGACTTTCCGAATCTGCCAAAACCTCAAAGGTGGCCATCCTGACCCGGGCCACGGACTATTTGATGCAGCTGAGGGCGTGTGAGCGGCGGCAGAATCAAGAGAGGAAAAAGCTCAGAGCGAAACAGCAGCAGCTGCTCCGCAAGATCACCGCGCTCAAAAACTCCTGAAACTACCTGAACACATGGACAATACACACGGTCACTGGGGGGGGGGCTTACTTCAGACAGCAGGACACTTCTCAGTTAGCCAGATAATGTAAGCAAAAAGTCTGTTTTGGCCAGCAGGAAGAGACCTAATGGAGAGTTCTAGTGGACAATCTGCACTTTTGTCGTTTTGTTGAGCGATCCAGCAAGGAATTTCACAAAGTTAGCTGGGTAACTTAAGCCAACAGTTTTGCTTGTCCAATAGGAACGTCCCTCACCTTCTCCTATATTGGACAGGGTTTCACTTTTGGCTTAATTTATCTGGCTAACAGAGGAATCCCTCTGTAGTACATACCACAGAACTCATCTAACCGCCAGGCCTTTAGCCAGTGATGAGTCCTGGAGGGTCACAACATGTGATCCAGCCAGTAATTCATATAATAATTGCTTTGATTACTTGCATCAGGTGTTAAATTTGGTTGGAGTAAAACCTGCAAAAGATCCTCAGAGGAAGTAATAGTGACCTCTGGTCAAGCAAAGTAACACCTGACCAGAAGAGACACAGTTGTTGGTGATCTGTTATAAACGGGTCTTTCCAGAACACAGGAGTTGATATAATGATTAAAAATAGACGGAAGGTGGTAAAAGCTACAGGAAGTTTTTCTCCGATTTGGCAGACTTTGAACCTTACAAGCAGGAAGAGTTTCTGGAACTTGAGCTTTCAGAACTAAATGATGTAGTATGAATTTTTTTTATTATATTTTTGTGCCCCTTTGTATCCTAATAGTTTATGTGCACAGGGCAAACTGGACGGCTAATCTATTGCTGCAGACAAAAAATGAAAACAAAAACCTCAGTTAAGCGTGGGTGTGTATGCATTTTGGGTCACGAGGCAGGATTTCAACTTAAGCCCCAGTAGTGAGTATTATCCAGTAGGAAGATATCTTAACTCTCTTCCTCTTGGACAATCTTGACTGTTGGAAGTTGTCTGACTAACTGGGAAAGTACCTTGTAGGATCTGCGTTGGCCAGATAACTAAATTGTGGCTTTTTTTTTCTTTAAACCCCAAATCACTATCTGCCTTATCTGTAGCGTGCAGTCGTTTACCATAGATGGTTTCGGTGCATGCTGAAGCATCTGCCTGTTGGCTTCCGTTTCAAGCATCTTTTAAGTCATTTTTCATCTTTTCTAAGTAGAGAGAAATGGTTATCCATGGTAATCGGTGTACACTGCAGATGAAGCAGATGGAGATTTGGTTGGAAAAATGGTGGAATGTTGCATCAAAGCCACACATTTGGGTTTAAATAATCCAGCTAAAAGAGATCCTGTGTGAAATGCACTCATGGTGTGGGTGAAAGTGTGTGTGAACGGGTGTGTAAACAAACTCAGGATAAAGACGAGGCTCATGTATGAACCTGAGTGGAACGTTGGCGGCTGTTTAGTGTCGTTTCTGTGAGCGCTAGTGTGGTTCTGGTGCAGTGAGTGAATGTTATCCGTGGTCTGAGAGATGCTGTTGATCTAAAATCATGCTTTGCCTAAATTACCTCACTTCTTTCTGTGCAGTCGCACATGCTTGTTTTGTATAGAGAGTGGAATTATGGGTCTTTTTGTACATTAAAAAAAAAAAAACAAAACAAAAAATATGCACATTGAAAACTTCTGTAAATATTTTCACCTGGGTGGCTTCCTCGTCTCCTGTATCTACCTAAGAACATCACAGATTCTATTTTGCTAAAAAATAAATGCATTTGAAAAAGCTAATTGTGGTCTGTTTGTTTTGAATTCACAAAATCCCTTCACAAGTTCCCTTAACTCAAGTAGTCGGCCTACCAAGTCTATCGAGTTTACTTCTTTAGCTTTAGCACTGGAGCTAAGACTAATGAACCAAAGTATGTAGCATAGCCAGCTAAAACGTTAGCAACATCCTGCAGCTAAAATTTTGTCTGTAGTTCATATTTATAGATAAGTGTCAGAAATGACAAGTCTATTACAGATACTAAACAACTGTAAAAGCTTTGAGGAGAGTGATTTAAACATGCAGTTAGCGCCACGCTAACTGATGTTGGTTGTTAGCTTCTGTTATTTATTAGCTATACTAGCCTTTTAGCTGCAGTGCAAAACTAAAGAACATTAAACATTTGGAATGAGGGGAATTGGACTAATTTGACTTTAATAGTGTTGTTGCTTGGCTGTATAGCTCTGATTAGACTTTCACTTGCGTGCTAGTGTGTCTTTGCCAAAGTTGCTAAGTACCCTGACTAGAAGAACGTGCTGTGTTGGATCACTGTGACCAACTGCAGAGCAGAAAAACCAGAACATTTACACTTCATCACCGTCTGTCTGAGTCCTGAGAGTCAAGAAAAACTCAGAACTTAATCAGCCATGTCCTGAGTATACTAGCTACTTTTAGTGCTAGCAGTGTGTTCGTGCTTACGTACTGTTAATACCCACCCTGCTAAAAAAAGCACTATTAGAAAATCTTAGGATTAAAACCTTAAGGTTTACTTTCTAATCCATAGAAAGTCTGCTTATTGCTTGTAGACTATATATTGTGTATTGTCTGTAAATTATTTATACATTGTATGTTGCATTTATGCCTAGAGAGACACCAATGGCTGGAACCAAGTTCTTTGTGTCAACATATTTGGCTCAATGGTGTCTGAAAGAGATTATTTTTCCTAATATTACATTAAGAAACCATCGAATGCATTTAGAATCAGGTCACCTGTTAATTAACTATAGCATCTTTTACCCCGTTAAAAAAGCCAAAACACATTACAAAACAATTAGCAACCAACGGAAACACTTTTCTATGGGTATCTTCAGCAGGGCAGCCAGAATCTGTCCCAGAGGAAAAATGTCTTAAGATTGTCTCAAAGAAATAAATCAGATCTCAATACCATATTAATGACGAATCACTGATTTCTCAAGTCTTTCTCCTAAGCCCCCATGAGAAAAGATTAACATCAATATTTCATCGCAAAGCATGACTTCTACACCGACAGACGACTGAAAGAGTTCTGTGATGTAGAATTAAGCTGTATAAGAAAATGACGAGATCTTACACTTTTCTTATGGAAACGTTATTCAAATAAGACTGGGCTGAGACGAGTCAGACACTAAAGAGTTAATGCATATGTGTGACAGTATTTTGATCAAAGTGAGAAAATCTTGAAAAATGATTGTGAGACTATGTATTGGAGATTTTAGAATTATAAACAATGAACGTCACATTTCAGTTTGTGAAGGATTTGTTTCAAAATGGTTAAAGATTTGAGGCTTTAGATTTTGGGCCGCAGTGCATTTACCCTCATGCCCCTCTTAGCAGCCATGCTGCTGCCTAGAACCACCAGAAATGTGTGCAACATTGCACACAGTTTGTACTCAGTAACATCCCACACAGAAAAGAAATGTATATATAAAACATATTTCTAAAATACACACGAAATTATCCAAAAAATGTATTTTTTCTTTAATGTACTGTAATTGAAATACATTTTGAAATTGAACAAGATATTTGAACTGTATCTCACATATAATCTCACGTTATAGCTAAAATTAGCTTTCTTAATGTCAGCCAGTTGCTTGCGTAGGTGTGGTTCAGTCAAATGTGGAACTGCAAAGAAATCTGACATTTCTGTTCAGTGCACTCCTGGATCTAGATCGTGAGCTACATAGGGTAATAATATAGAGTGCACAGTGTCTGAACTGAAACAGCAATAGCCTTTGTTTACTGGACCTCACCGTACAAGTGACCACACAGTTAAATTAAACATTGCAGTGCAAGGCACTACATTACAATATAAGCACACAACAGTTCAACTCAATACAATAAATAAGCAGAAGAATACAGTGAGAAATTGAGATGCTATCAGTAAGTGTCTCTCTCCCTGTGAGTGAGAGTCTGAGGGAGCTGTATGAGGAAGTGCAGTCATTAAATTAGCCACAGGTCAACTGACAGTTTAACTCCCTTTTCTTCCCTGACCTGCACAACCGGTTACTCTCACAGTCACTGTATCCGCTCTTCACAGCTCTGCTGTTCTTCTTCTAATGTTTTTCTCATTTATATGCATGTGTTCAGCTGGATTAGTCACAATTAAAGAAAAAGTCACAATTAAAGACAAAAAGGCCGCTTTCTTCAGAGCGATGCCGTAAAAGAACCACTTTTGGTTCCCTAAATGTCTGAAATAGAGATCTGTCAGTGTGCACCTTTTGAAAGCTTTAAGAGCCTTCACATTTTCTTACAATGTTTTTTTTTTTTTACCAGTTTAAGCTTCTTTAAGCTTTTAAACTCTTAGCCTTCACACATATATTTTGCTTTAGTTCATGTGAACTAAAATTTTGCTTTGCATAGTATCATTGAATGAAACCAGTTAAGTCACCTGTTGCAACATGAGGTTAAACCAATTTTATTTTAGGTTAAACCAATTTGTACAGTGTAAAGAACCATCCACTGAAATGTTGTTTAGGGAACCAAAAGTGGTTCTTCTATGGCATCACACACACCTTTATTTTTTAAAAGTGTAATGCTGAGAAATAAAAAAAAAAATGTAAAAAAAGCATTTTTATAATTTCCAGATTTGTGCAGAATTAATGAATGTTGCAGTAAATGAAGGTCCTTCACAGTAATAATGTACATATATACCAGTTCATTTTAATTGATGTGCATAATTAAAGGGCCTATATTGTGTAAAACTGATTTTTTCTCACTTTTTTGGAAATTACAGAGTATGATGTAGTATGCAAAGTTTCAAAACGTACCATTCGTGCCCCAGTCTGTACTGAAACTAAGCTGCAAAAACAGCCTGTTTTGAATTGCCTATAGCAGTTTAGCCCCGCCCACTCACACTGAAGTTATAAGGACTGTTTAAGCCTAGACTGTGCAATACAGGGCAGCCATTTAAAACAGAGCTCATTTACATATAACATCTTAAAGGCTTCTTTATTTCTCAAGGATAAAAAGAAAATAGTAAATTTCCATGTAAAATGTTTTTGGTGCATAAACACACACAATGGATCTCGGGAGAAAAATAGAGTACAAGAAAAAAGTAGGATATGGGCTCTTTAAAACGCTTCATCACTTTATGTATATTAGCCAGCTTATATAACATAAGCATTTCATTACTATGATTAAAGAGCCCATATTCCACTCTTCTATTTCAAAACAAAGAGGGAAATATTCATTTTTCCACAGTATGGGCCCTTTAATGTGATCATACTGAATGTATGAGCTTTATATCACAGAGCGTTTCTAATCTGCACCAACTGAACAGCTTCTGTGTGTGTTTTAACTTCTGCCTTCTTCCCACATCCCTCTAGAGCACAAACAGATGGACTGAAGTGAAAGGAAGTTGAGAGTTGGACCTCAGCCGGCCGTGAAGTTTGAGGTCTGAGTGCTGTGTGTGTGTGTGTGTGTGTAGAGGAAGTACACACTCATCCACCCCTTTTTTCCTTCTCCAGCTTTCAACACTGACCATCAGGATTGAGCAACATTCACCAAGCTTTTGTTCTGCTAACACACACACACATATGTACAGTATCAGTACCGGTTCCAGATGTTGCTGTACATCCTCAAACCTGCACTGATTGTAGATGTTTTAAAGAGTCCTTCATTGCTTCGGCATACTGCCTTCTGTTACTTCGAAATACCACAGATTTAGACATAAAACTCACTTCACGTCTCAGACGTCCAGTTTTGATGCAGATATTCTTCTGTCCTTTTCTCAGTAAGGTTCTTCTTGACAGCTACACATCCTTTCAG